CCATGGGACCCTTGGGGAAGAGGATTGCATCCTTCTTCCTCTTTGTTCACCGACCTGTACAAAATATCTACAAAATACTGATGTGCTGTCAGATCTGCTTGAAATTGGCCAACAGGTCTGAGTGATGTTTGAGAGGACGAACACGGGAGAGGAGAGTGGCTGTCTGCATACAGGGTGTTTTTCCTTTGGAGCAACCTGTTACAGAAAGGCGGGTTGTTTAATTGGGGATAACACATCAGCACAGACCCCTGCTTCACCACAAAGTTCCTCCTGAAGAGAGGACTGATCCCTTTAAGTACAGGCAGAAGGAGAACCAAGGCATCTATGTGTATCAGTGCTACAGCTCTGGTACTAAATAGTATTTAGGGTTTCTGTTTGGGGAGTTGCTGTGTTTGACTAAACTAAAGCGTTGTCTCACGAGGGATGCTCGTGTTGAGGTCCAAGGATCAGGAATGGCTGAGCCGCCTGTGGGAAGGCTGGATGAGTCCTGTGAGAGGTGTGTGCTCGTACGGAGCTGAACGATTGAGTCACGCTGTCCTGCTGATCTGACTGATGCAGGTCAAAGGTGTGAAATGTCACTTCTTTCAGAAATACCTTCAGTGTTAACCATGCTGTAAGGGCTATGGGTAATATTTTAATTTATTTTTACCACACTGGAAAAAATTAGGCCCGTAGATTGTAGTATCACTGTGAAGCTCAGAGCAAGCTGGTGGAGTGAGATGGTTAGTTTGGCCTTTAACATGTCATTCAACATCTTGGCTTGTAGTCTGCTGTGCTACAGTCATGTGCTGAAGCTTCATTTTGATACAGCTTTTACTCAGAGGAAACAAAGCGCTGCAGGGGACCGATGTTGGTCTTCAGCAGGTCAAGGGAAGGCACCCGTCTTCCGTACGCTCATGGGTGGCCCCTGCCAGTGCTTTTAAGGCCATGAAGGGTATTCATGTACTGGAAACGTGGAGGTTCAGAGAAATGAGGCAGAGAGGAATGATGAGTAGGAGGCTCTGAGCACTAGTAATAATGCTAATCTCACTTCAGGGGATGCTCCCAGGTTGGGATTTTCTGCAGTAGTGTCCTCAGGGATGTTTTGTTATACAGATCCAACTGTAGCATGTGTGGGGCTCGAGGACACCAGCATTCCTTGTTGTCTTCCAGCAGGCAGTAGCTCCAGCATGCCTCCTCCACGAGGTGACAGTTACAGGGGTGGCTTGAGAGACAACAGATTTAGCGCTGTTGATCACTGTCATACTAGTGAGCCAGAAAGCCACTCCATGCGTGTGCAGTCAGCCTTGGGCCAAATTCATCCCTTCCGTAAGGTCTCATCAAGGTCATGAACATTGCAGCAGGGCTGTGTTTCAGCAAGGATTGTTAATTTTGATCCTAAGGGACATTGCAGCAAAGCAGGATAAACCGTCAAGGAATTTAAAGCATTTTACGGTGGTTTTAACATTGTGGTTGCTAGTCAGAGCACACACAGATCCAGTTCATCACTTGACTTGGGCTGCCAGTGCTCTAGCTAGTGCTCAGTTTAGCCAAGGCTAGGAAATTCTTTCCATTTAACCCCTTTTCAAAAATACTTACTCAAAACAATTAATTGTTTTGGATCTCCTCCTGGAAGGCTTGACAGGGGAATACAAAAGCTCTTTCCTCTCCTGGAGTGGTGGACAACTGTACAGAATAGCACTTATTGCCCTAGGGGATACCAGGTTAAGAAGTTCAGCAGTTCTGCTATAAATGCAAGGTTTAAAACTTACCTAGCATCACTTGTATTCTGCATGGAGAACTTCTCTTTGGGAAATAACAGTAACCTTTCAGTCTAGGTGAGACCTTTCCTGTCAGCATCCATCGTGGGAAAGCTTTGCACTTCTGCCCAGACCAAGAAATCATTGCAAGGTGGGTTCAGCGTAGGATAAATGCCTCACAAAACAAAACAATGTGAGTGCTTTGGTATAGCAGAGCCTTCAGCTCAAGTCCAGAGGTTTTGACATGTCAGTGAAGTTGCTTAATCAGGTCATACACTAACAGGTTGCTAGCTTGGGTATGTGCATGGATGTTTGTTTACTGTAGTCCTGATGCAAATGTCCCTCCTTATTTTACAGCCTGGTGAGTGAAGCTTTTTAGAGTGCAGCAAAAGATTGGACAAATTGCACTGCAAAGAGCATTTTCCATAATCCCAGGCTTAATGTAACTGTTGCAAGACATGCATGTGGTGATTGTTTCACAAAACACTGCCACAGTGCTGATCCAGGGGAGTGCAATATCATGGGGAACTACAGAAGTCCAGTTGGTTTTGCCTTCTAAACATCTCCAGTGTTAAATTGCAATCATCTTCTAAGTTCAAAGTCTTTTTTTGTATTACAAACCTCTGAGACCAAGCAGCTACAGAAGTAAGTGACACAAGAGTCTCACTATGGCATAAGGGAAAGCAAAAGAGAAATGCATTGCCATGACCATGCAAATTTAAAAGTTGCTACTCTTAAAAGCATTCTAAATACTTTCACTGCAGCAGTCCCAGATTTGTGGGTCAGATTAGTGCTGGTTTAATTTCCCCAATAGATTACAATTTGTACAAGATTGAGGCTGTGCTAGATAAACCATTTCCTGTAGTAACTTACTTTTAAGAGGAAAGGTGCATCCCCTACTGGTCATCTTGCAACAGTATCCTTATCTGAAAGGAACAAATCCATGTTCTCTAATGGCTCTAGCCTAGTCGTTTTTGCAGTTTTTACTTTACTTTTACGCTTAACTAACTTTTCCACCTTTATAATAGGATTTGCTAGCACTGGAGTACTTATAGTGCCTGCTGAGAGGCCTAGAAGTCAATGGAAAACAGGAGTTCTGAAAAAGCAGGTTTCTTATTGTTGAGACCAGCTAATAAAACGGGGAAATTAATTAATTTAAAAAACACACTTCCAACCACACTTTTTGCGTTACTTCAGCATTTGTAAAATAAGGAACTTGGGCCATTACCAGCATTGTGTAACCCATGATCTGTTTTTCCTATGTGAATTTCTCAAGATGCTAAGGCTGTGTTCCAAAGCCAGGCTACACCCAAGCAGACCCCATCCTGCAGCTGAGGAAACAGCATCCAAACAATCAGGTGCCACAAGGAATGGCTGTGTGGCCAAGATGGCAGCTTTGGTATTGTTTTTTTTTTTAATTTAAACAAGCGGTCTTCAAAAAGTTCTCTCTTCTGTGGATCAGACCACCCCAGCCACAGTTGTGTCACCAACTATTCCAGGTAAGGCATTTAAGGAAAAAGTATGTCAGAGGCTGATGCCACTGCTGAGACTTGTCCCTGTAGGGTGCAGGCTGTAGTGTCAACTCTCTGTCTAAAAAGCAGTGAGGTCTTCCATCAGATTATCTTGCAGTAAATTAATTTTTTTTCTCTGCAAAAGAAAACTTATCCTGCTTGCTACCACTGAAAAGGAGGACTCAGGCCACATCTACTTCATCTTGCAGTGAGTGCAAAGTATTTGGAGTATTATATTCTGCACAGCAGATTCCACACTTCCCCCTTTCCTGATTTGTTTACTGCCCCCCCCCATATATTTCCACTTTGTCAAATATATCCAGCAGATTTTAAACACTTTATTTAATAAAAGTTAAACATACAAAACTGAAATTAACACACTTTGTATTCATAAAAATCACCTTCTCCCATTATAGGGAGAGCCTTTTTCTATGTATGGATTCTACACTACCAGTTGTAGAGTTTAGCTTGAGCTGTGACTCGGGTAACTGGTGGACATTCCCACCAATCAGTGCATCAACAATTGCTGACGTGACCTGATGTAGTTAACAAATTACAAAATGAGCTACATTAACATAATATACAGGGAAATAATGGTCAGGGTTAATGGACAAGAAACACCCTTTAATTATTTAATGGGGGAAAGAGCTGATGTACTCTTGTCCATTAACTCAGCCCTAGATTTTACAAAAATAATATCTACATTGTATACAGGGCTACCCATTAACTTTTTAAAACACATTACGGGTTCAGAGATGGCACCGCTACCGTAAGTGATAGACAAGTAACAGAGGAAAACAAATCACATACAAAATACAAGAAAGCAAGAGCTTTTACACGTGGTTTCCTGAATAAAATTGAAGGGGCTCAGCAGCACTGTAATACAGCTGAAGTTACAATGAACACTAGGGCCAGTCAATTACCTAAGGACAGAAACTTCAGCCTAACCTTTACTCACTCACAACTAACTAAGTGGGATCTAGGCATTCGTGTCTGCCATGCTGCAATTCTACTTCGCTGGATGGAGAAGGCCCAGACACAAGCTGTTACAGTGCAGTCCAGGTCTGTGACCGTACCATCAAACCTACAAGATCTACAAGAGGGGAGATGACAGCCCCTTTCCAAAAGCACAACCACTTACGTTCTCCAACTCCCCGATCCATGGGGAGGAGTTGGGTGGGTATTTTTTAAGTACAGTTCTCTACTTTGAAATGAAAAGTCTAAATACCTTGTCCTATGGTTTTCTGGTTACCTTTCAGTAACCTTTCAATAACCTCCTATTAAAATTTTATGATTTTTTTTTAAAAAAAAGTATCCCTTCTGCTTAACTTCTAGCACAGGAAATTCAGACTGGAATTAAAGTCAGGTTTATTGTTTCTAGCACATGAATCATCATTAGTATAATGATAAAGATCCTATCAATCAGCCCTGTTCTGCCCTCATCTCCACCTGTACCAATCGATCTTCACTGGATTTGTAAGGGAGTAATTGAAAATTTCCTTAGCAATTCCATCTGACACATAAGCCACAATGAAGTCCAGGTTTCTCTCTCCCACAGCTGCTTCAGCTCTGTAATGCTGAGCTTGTCACCAGGAGAGCAGACAGCACTGTGACTGCAGAAACAAGGGAGGCTGTTACAGTGTCATTTTTATACCACCGCTTTTCTTAAGAGAAAAAAAAAAAACAAAAACCAACAAACCTCACTACCAGTATGAAGATTCTGAAGATCAAAGTTGCAGATAACTGCTGCTTTCAGAGCAACAGGTAACAGCAGTTCATGAAAGCATTTACCTGCAGAACATATTTAATGCAACTACAAAAAGTTTAACAATTGGGGGGAGGGGAGGTGTGTCAAATCAAGAGCTGGAGATTTAAGGCTCATATCAGCTGAAGCCAGAGTGATGGTGACAAAATGGACTACTCGCTATGTGCCAACAAATAATTTACTTTTAGAAAAATATAATGATAAAAAGATAAGTGTAAAGCCCTGCAGAGATGAAGTTCCACCTTTTTCCCCTGTTACTGCGGCATCAAATGCCTGACATTGTATTTAGAGGTATCTTGATACTGTGTCATAGGTTTGTCTGCAATTCCGCATGTTCCAACTCCAACTTTGCCAGTTACACTCTCAGGGGAAGCAAAAATACTCCTCTTTACCTGCAAATGAAACAGAAAACACCATTTCTGAATAATTACTAACTTGCACTTAAAAGAAAAAAAACAAACCAAGCAATCATTACTGTTTGAAGTGTTTCAATATCCTCAACTTCTTACTTTATAGACAGGCATGCTTTCTAAAGGCTAGCTCACCCGTGACATGTTACCAGCAGGTGAGGTAAGTACCAGGACGTTCCCAGCTCAGTTAAGTACTGGGTGTGATCATGGTACTTGGGACCTTGGGTCAGGCCAATAACAAATAAAGTTCACCTTCCTTGTAAGATGATCTCTGATAATTGTTCATAAGGAATACTTTCACCACTATGTCTGGCAGTTCTTGGTCACGCCACACTAAAAATGAAATAAGGCTTTAAAATGTCCTTGCTACCTTTTTTGCACTATGCTTGCTATGCCAGGACAATTACTTAGCAGTGTGTCTGTCAAGTTACAAACACAGCAAGAAGCCAGGCTTGGAGGCTTAGGCAGGCCCTCAGGTTCTAAGCTCCAACAAACACGACCTGGCAGCTAACAGTGAGCCCAGCTCTCCAACCTAAGTGCATGCTCAGCCTCTTAGGAGCAGCACTCCTCCACAACCATCCAGTACCAAACCAGGCCTTTTACGTGTACAAAATACCAAACCGCACACTTCAGAATCCCAAAGATGAACCCTCCTTTAAATTCCTTAAAAAACCCACTTCCTTCTCTCTCCCAAATTACTGCAGAGAAGTCTATGCCCTGCTGTCACTCACATACTGACAAAACAAACCAACCTGGCCTTTTTTGTTTTTAGAATAGGCTCTGTTGTTAAACTGTTGCCACTTGACTTTCTGGTCCTCTCGTTCCTGTTCAAGTTCTTTAATTCTCTGAGCTTTCTTCAAAGCTTTCTTCTTTTTATACTCTCGTTGCTGGGCTATCATCTCTTTTCTGGAGAGAAAGAAAAAAGACATTTCATGTTTGTGCCTTTTCCCATAAGAAACTAAAACCCCTGTAAGACTGATAGGCACAATCGTTTTCTGTAACTGAACGACAGAAAACAAAGCTTGTAAATATTCTCCACTTACAGGGAAAAAAAAAAATCAAGTCTTTCCATGCTTAAGCATTACATTGGTTGCTTATATATTTGGGCCTAACAATAACCACCTGATTAAGACCATGCCAAACACAGCGGCCCATGGGATCGTGTTTAGTTCACTTCTGAAAATGAAAACGTACCTATCAGCACTTCTACATTTCAGAAACATCCAGGGTTTGGAAAATTTAAATAGCCCATTCAAGTGAAAAGCCCAAACTTTTCTGGAGGTCTGCAGGACCCTCATGCTACCAAGTATTGGACAGGGATGGAAGGAAAAGAATAAAAAGAAGATACGTTCACAAGGAGTTGATGTATGTCACAACACAGTGCCCCTCAGAATGATCCCTCAGGGAAGGGATCATTGCCTATAACAAACTCTGAAATTGTACCACCTTCCCCCCCCCACCTCCATGTTTTCAGCCCTTAAAAATACCTTTCTATGTTAGACACAGTAGGATATGGAGTAAACCACATCTGCCCAGCAATGGGGTCAACAAAGCTATCCCAACACAGGGACAGGGCAGAAGCCGGAGTCTTTCGCACTGGTAAGTACACTCTGTTGTGAGCCAGATCACAGATCTGAGTAGAGCCTGCACCAGATCCGAGCTGAAACTTGGAGGGTGTCTGCTGTCAATGGAAGAGTACTGCCTTTTTTTTTTTTTTTTTAAATCTACTGCTTACATATTTGACATCTTGGGATAGGCTTTGTTTTATTCAGATTATGCTATCACATTATCTTGCCATCATACGTAACACACGATACCAGCCACAATAATCTACCGAACAGTATATGCTAGAATGCTTGAAAAAGGGGCTTAAATCAAACGTGATGATATTAAAGAGATGTAAAAATTAAAAAAAGAGAGCGCCTTTTTCATTAACCAATTTTTATAGCTGTGGGGGGAAAAAAAACAACCAAACACAAAGCAGCTTTCAGACTTATGCCTGTGTATTACTTACTTGGACATGGGTTTATTGCCACTGTCCTCTTTTGCTTTTCTTCCCTCTTCCACAGGCTTGAGGTTGAACAGAGGTGTAACTTCAGCATTGCCATATCCAGCAAACGTGACTGCCGCTGTTCCATTCTCCTCATCTATTTCTTCAATCTCAGCTTCATAACACCTGTAAAGATATCATGGCTGTAAGCATGTGAGTAAAGCTTTAATACTCAGCCCTTCAACACCTACACTGTCAGCCAGCTAACGGCATTAAGTAAAAAATTTGCAAATACTGGCCTCCACTTTCAGGGACAACACACAAATCAAACCACGATATTATTTTCTTAAGGTCAAAGGGACACAAGTAACAAGACTGGAATCTGCTATATCTGACCTTTAGCAACAAGAAGCAATGGCCTCACAGTTATCAAGACTAATGATTAATGCTGGGCCAAATCTAATCAGATATCCTGATTTGGTTCTAGTTCTGGCAGGTCATGGGACTGAAAAAAAAAAGACCCAACAAAATATCCATTCACGGAACACAACTTTCACCAAATTCACTGAGGAATTTTGAAAAATGTCAGCTCACAAGAGCAAAGTTTTGGTTCTATTTTTCTCCGTATGAAAAAGAATTAAGAAAAACTGAAGCTTTTAAAATATTCCCCCTTCAACACTTCCAAAGCTAAAAGTTTTCTTACTGATTTAAAATAGCAATTTTGAAGTTTTAGCAGAATTCAGTCCATTTCATATCTGTGCATATGAAACATTTTGGTGAAGCAAACTGACCTTATAACGGGAAAGAGGAAAAAAAGACAAGTGACTTTTCCAAAAGCATTTAAAATAATTTGAGTCTAAATTCAGAGCAAAAGGATACATCTAAAGCAAACAGAGGAATAAAAGGAGATGTTTCACAGACAGTATTCCAGTTACCATTTACTAAATTAATTTCTTGTGCTATTTTAGTGGGCCAACAACATCTTAAATTGAGCTAGATGAAAACACATGGAAACCCAAACTGCACAGGGCAAAAAGTACTAGTCTCTGCCCAGCTCTTCGCAGAACACCGGTCACTTAAGAAATGTTGCAACAGAAGCAGTGGGTCAAAAAAAAAAAAGGCAGTAAGATGCATTTCAGTGGACACTCTGGCATATTCTTCCTCAAGCTCTGATCCTCTAACTCAGTGATCAGAGCAAGAATGACCCAACGGTGACCTAAGAGAGTAAGATTCAATTTTTAAGTTCTTACACAAAACATTAATGATCTGTGACAGAAAAACTGTTCACTTTTAGGTTTGTTTTCTATCAAAGGCATCAATAGCTATGCCAAAAATCTCATGTGGTTACCACATTGTTAACAGAACTACATTTGTTGAACAACAGAGCTTCTCTCTAAGCAGTAATGACTGGGATATTAGTCGTGCATAAATACTAATTTTAAAAGAGCTGCAACAGTTACCCATTTTGCAGTAGGGGAAGTAATTTTAGAATGTTTATTTCAAAGATTATGAAGTCAGAATGAAGTGCTTGGGTTCCCAGAACTTCACAGGCTAATGTAACGGAGACTACAAATCCAAAAGGTAATTAATTCTACAGTTATGTTACACAGCTAGTTATTCATAGCCAAAAAATAGCATTTCCAATTAGCAGCAGAAACTAAGATACAGCAAGGATTTTTCTTGATAGCAATTGATTTTATATGTATCTATATATATATGAATGCAATGACAAATTATGACTTGTACATCCTGAAATCTTTACAAAAGGCTGCTCTGACAGATGAATTGATGAAAGTCTGCCATTTATTACATTAGCAAATGGTAATTTACCAAAGCTACCCTACTTTTATAAGGTTAGTGACAAACAGGGCATTTCTAAGAAATGACCCCACATCTCTTTGTTTTTTACCTAAAATACTGACCTTTAATACAGTACAAGAATACCTAACATCATATTTATTTCCTAATTTCTTTTTGCTTTTAGTCACCCTAGAGGCAGTTCAAACTGAATGAAAGTCTCTTACCATTGAACTATTTCATGTAACTGTTAGAGAAGTTTTCTACACTTACTGTCCATCCTCACTCCATATCGCCATACACCTATCCCCAACCTTCCAGGAGTGACTGGGCAGAGCAGAAGCAGAACTATCAGAACTTGCTAGAGTTTCCGAAGGTTGTGTTGAAAGGAGATCTTTGGTTAATTCTATGACTTCCTATAAAAGACAAAAACCCCACAACAAATAATTTTTCGAACTCTGTTACCATGCATATTTTTACCCCAAGCTTACTGGTTTGAGTTTTTTTGAAGTTACTGTCTTAAATTCATAGCTGAGGTAAAGTTTGTTTTGTTTTCTTTAATCATTTAACTAAATTCACTCATTGCCAACATAGATAAAAAGATGTAGGGTCCTCACTGTATTGCTGTAAAGTTGCCCATGCCCTCCTCAAAATTTCAAAAAGTAGCCTGTTATTCTTATAGCATTTCCTTCTAGATTAATTGTTTATCCATACGCACAAGGACACAGCTAAACAGTCTCAATAAAAAAAAGACCCAACAAAAATCAACAGTGTGACTGTACACATAGCTGCATGGTATGTTGGTTATCGAACAACAACAACAACAAAATCACAC